AACCTTGCAAAGTACGTAAATATGGAAAACTAAATCAAACTAAGATGTCAGTTGGTTTGTTCTGATGTCACTAAAAGAAAAAGAAAACTCATCAAAACCAAAACACTTTCATATCATTACAAAAATTGCACCTGATTATCTCCACGGTTTGTAAATTATATTTCAACCTTTCCACAACATACACATATTCAAACTAGTAAAAAAAAAGTGGCAAATATAAAAAACATACAGCAACAACAAAAATACAGAAAAAAGTTTTAGTATAACAAAAAGGACAAAGAATGCAATTAACACAAAACCCAAATATTATTAGTTAAGATTGATGATCTTGTAAAATTCATGGTTCAAAATAAACCCTTTTCCTTGCAACTTTGAATGGCATCCTCAAACATTTCCTCAATACTATGTTTGAACTCAAATCCAGCATCAGTGAGTTTCTTTGATGTTAAATGTGGAAGCTCTAGACCTTTAGGCCCGCCAAACAATCTATAGAAAAAGAAATAAATTGAATAATACTATTAGTATCAATTAAAGAAAGTTCACATTGATTTAGAATATAGAAAACAAACTCACTTGGACTTTGGAATTTCAAATTCAGGATGCTTTGAAGAAACAATGTCAACTACTTCCTCAACAGTTGCAACGAATGGTGAACAATTGTATCTCCCTTTTGGATTAGGATGTTCAAGTAAGAATATATGTGCTCGCGCAACATCGTCAACATGCACCATATGGAAACGAGATATTGGACTGTGGTCAGTATTACCTGAATGCAACTTTCAATTGTTAATTTTGTTTAACTATTAGTATGAATATTCAATATAAAAAAAAAATCACTTACCAAATAAATAAGGTAGTACACCATAAACAGAGGTAGGAAGCTTAGGGCAAATGAAGGCTCCAACAATAATAGTTGGTATAATAGTCACAATATCCAACCCATTTTGTTGTCCGTACTCGAGAACAGCTTTCTCCGCTTGTGTCTTAGAAATTGAATAAGCCCAACCAAATGGTTTATGATTTCTAAGAATGTCTATATCGCTCCAATAACTTTCGTCCATTACATCCTTTGCTTTTTCTATGTCTTGACAATAAACAGTAGAAGCACTTGAAGTGTAAATCACTCTCTTCACAGTCTTAGAGTTTTTGCAGGCTTTAAGAATTCCTAATGCTCCATCAATGCTTCTTTTTGTCACTATTTCTTCTGGTTCTTTCTCTTCAAAATCAACCGAAGCGGCGGTGTGGAATATTCCAACGCACCCTTCAATTGCTGGGTTGAAACTTTCTGGTTCGGCAAGATCAGCAATGAAAAATTTTAGTTTTTCAGATGCTCCTGGAAGATTTGTGAGAAAGCTAAGATCTCTCTTTTTCTCTGGATCAGCTCTAACAGTGGTATTAACAGTGTAACCATTTTCAAGGAGACTCTTGATGATCCATGAACCAAGAAAACCTGTACCTCCTGTTACACAAACTCTTCCTTTTCCTTCTGCCATTATCACACTTTTGTTACTTTTGTATGAATGTTTTTGTTAGTTCTGTATGAATGTTTTTGTTAGTTCTGTATGAATGAATGTTGATGGTCACATACAAATTTATATATATAGACACATCCAATGTTGTTGGTCATCACCTTTCTTCCCAATATTATTATATCAATATTACATTTATTATGATTGAGAACTCATGCTCAATTCAATAGAGAAAAGAGAGAAAGAAAGATTAAAGAAGAGAAAGGAAAGAAGCATTTTATTTCATATGTTCAAGCTTATGCATTACACAACTATTTATGCTAGCATTCTATTGCAAGCTATATATGTAACTAACTTCTAATAACCACTAACATCCTAACTGTAGAATAACTAACTGCATAACTAACAGCTAGTGTAACTGCTGCTAACTACCTAACTGCAGAATTACTAACTGCATAACTAACAGCCTAGGTAGTTGAGATCCTCCCTCAAGTTGAACTGTGGTAGATATCTAACAAGTTCAACTTGGACATGAGCTCATAAAAAGGTTTAGGAAGTAGTGATTTGGTGAAGAAATCAGCATGTTGATTGCTTGAGGAGACAGGAATAAGCTTCATAGTGCCTGCCAAGAACCTTTCACGAACAATGTGACAGTCAATCTCGAGGTGTTTTGTTCTCTCGTGGAAAACCGGATTAGCTGCAATATGAAGAGCACTCTGGCTATCACAGAATAAAACTGGAAGTTTGGTACAAGTGATAGAGAGGTCTTTAAGAAGATACAGCAGCCACTGAAGCTCACACGTAGCTGAAGCAAGAGCACGGTATTCAGCTTCAGATGAAGATCGTGAAACTGTGTTTTGCTTCTTGGTCCGCCATGAAATGAGTGACTTGCCAATATAAAAACAGGAACCTGACACTGACTTTCGTGTATCAATACAACCTGCCCAATCTGCATCAGAAAAACCAATGAGATGAATGTGTGAATCCCTTGGGAAGAAAAGTCCTTGTCCTGGTGACTTCTTGAGGTAGCGCAAGACTCTGCAAGCAGCATTGTAATGAATCATGGAGGGCTTGGACAAAAACTGGCTCAGTTGCTGGGTGATGAATGTGATGTCAGGTCTGGTTGTGTTGAGATAGATGAGTCTCCCAATTAACCTCCGATAAGCTGGGACGTCATCAAAGACTGGTCCAATATCATTATGCAATTTGATGGCAGGATCTGATGGAGTGTTACTTGGTTTGGAACCAAGAAAACCTGTATCAGAAAGAAGATCAAGACAGTATTTTCTCTGACAAATAGAGATGCCCTTGGAAGAGTGAGCAATTTCCAAACCAAGGAAGTATTTGAGTCTTCCTAAATCCTTGATTTTGAAAGCCACATCAAGCACAGTCTTCATATGTTGGAATTCTGCCAAGGAATTACCTGCTAGAAGCACATCATCAACATATACAAGTATAATTGTAAATGAAGAAGAAGTACTTTTAACAAATAGTGAGTGATCTGATGTTGCCTGTTTGTAGCCATGTTGAATAAGCAGTGAGGTTAGTCTCTCATACCATTGCCTACTTGCTTGTTTCAGGCCATAGAGAGACTTAACCAATTTGCAGACTTGGTTGGATTTGGTGGTGTTCACACCAGGTGGTATTACCATATATACATCTTCATGAAGTGTGCCATGTAAAAAGGCATTGTTCACATCTAACTGATGTAAGTGCCAGTTATGAATAGAAGCTAAAGCCAAAACAAGGCGAATTGTTGTGAGTTTAGCAACTGGTGAGAATGTATCAGAATAGTCCAAGCCTTCAATCTGGTTGTAGCCTTTAGCTACAAGTCGAGCTTTGAATCTCTCTATGCTTCCATCAGACTTATACTTTATTTTGTAGACCCATCTGCAACCTATAGGCTTAACATTTGGTGGAAGATCCACTATTTGCCATGTGCCAGTATCTTCAAGAGCAGTAATCTCAGATTTCATAGCTTGAATCCAACTTGCAGATTTACAAGCCTCAGCATATGTTTTAGGTTCAGTTTGAGTGGTGATAGATAATGTGAATCGAGAATGGGAAGGAGACAAATGAGAATAAGAAACAGAATTAGAAATGGGATAAGCAATACCTGAGGATGAAGTGATGGGGTAGTCATTGCTGTTGAAGGAAGCACAAACATAGTCTCTGAGGTGAGATGGTTGGTGCCTTGTTCTGGAAGAAACCCTTGTGGGGAGAATTTGATTGGTGGGTTGAGTGGAGAGAGAAGTAGGTACTGATGTGTTTAGTGTAGGTATATCGTGAGGATTGGTTTGTGCTGGAACTAGAGTATCAACATGTGCATGATTAGACAATTCAGGTTGCACAAGATCATTATTGTCAATACTCGTGTCATTGTGTGCAGGGTCAGCTGATGTATTAAACACATTATCAGAAATGTCAGCAATATCAAATACATTAGGATGAGTAGAGCTAGTAACTGGTGATGATGATTGTAAGGACTGTGTACTGAAATACTCCCATGAATTACTAAGAGATTCAGAAGAAGTATTGTAAGGCAGAATATGCTCATGATGTGTAATGTTCCTAGATATGAAAATGTCACTATTATTGAGATCTAGAAGTAAACAGCCTTTATATCCAACAGGGTAGCCTAAAAAGACTGCCTTTCTAGCTCTGGTTTCTAATTTGGTTCTATGAGAAGTAAGAGTAGAAGCATAGCAAAGAGAACCAAATACTTTAATATGACTAATGTCAGGTACATTGTCATGCAATAGCTGATATGGTGATTTTTGTTGAAGTAAATTGGATGTGACTCTGTTAATGATGAAAGCAGCATAAGGGACTGCATATGACCAGAAGGATTTTGGTAAGTTTGATTGATATAATAGGGCTCTACCTACATTCAAGAGATGCTGATGTTTTCTTTCTACCCTACCATTTTGTTGAGGTGTCTCTACACATGACTTATGGTGAATAATGCCCTTGGATGCATAAAATTGAGGGAGAGAGAATTCAGGTCCATTATCAGACCTGATGTACTTGGGACAGGTATGAAACTGATTCTCAATAAGAATAATAAAATTTTTAACATGGTCAGACACCTCTGCCTTGGATTTTAACAAGATTACCCAAACAAATCTACTAAAATCATCAAGAACAGTAAGAAAATACTTGTGACCTTTAATAGAAGTAATGGAAATAGGACCCCAAATGTCAAAATGAATGAGTTCAAATTTAGCATTTGCTCTAGAAGTGCTGATAGGAAATGAAATTTTCTTATGTCTAGCAAAATGGCAAATATCACAGACAGCCTTATTATCATTAACAAGTTGTGGATACAATTGATGCATTTTAGAAATTCTGTCATGAGATAAGTGACCTAATCTAAAATGCCACAAGGCTTGTGGTGGAATCACTTTACATGTGTTGGCAGAAGTTTTAGGCATAATGAGGTCATTGGAACAATCTGAGTTGGAAGTGTGTTTTCTTTTATCAGCAGACCAACCATCATCTAGCACTAGTTTGTACAATCCTTCTACTTGACTAGCCAAACCAATCATCCTCTGTGATTTCACATCCTGTATATAACATTGATCAGCATGAAAAGAAAGTTTGCAGTTAAGATATTGACACATTTTTGAAACTGACATGAGATTAAGAGAGAAGTCAGGAGTGTACAAAACATTTTGCAAAAAAAACTGTGGTGAAAAATTAACAGTGCCAGCTTGTTTAGCAATGACAATAGCACCATTAGGTAGACACACATTAACAAGTTTAATTTTATGTAAAGAACTAAACCAATGAAGAGAGGAGCATACATGATCATTGGCACCTGAGTCAATGATCCAAAAGTCAGGTTTTCTACTAGTGGAACAAGATGCTATGAGCACTTGAGAATTACCTGTAGACTCATATGTAGAAATGTGATTGGTGGTTGAATTAACATTGGTAGCAGAATTTGGCAACTGAGACAGTAAATTTGTTTGCTGCAACAAGTTAATCAACTGAGAGTATTGCTCTTGAGATATGCTAGCACATTGACTCCTAGAGGAATCTTCTTCACCAGTGGAAGCAGTTTGTTGGTTGTCACCAGTAGAGGAATTTGTGGCATTAGCAACAGTTTGCTTTTTACCATAGTTTGGAGGAAAACCATGCTTCCTATAGCAAACTTCAACTGTGTGACCTGCTCTATTGCAATAAGTACACAGCCTATTGTCTCTGCGCGAGTTTTGGGAACTATTGTTACTATGACCAGAGTAATTGGCTTGCTTGCCACGATCACCTTGTCTTCTTGAGTCATAAGCATTTACCAAAGAATTAACTTCTTCCATAGGAGCAAAGGATTCAGGTTTCGAAAGTAAAGAGACGTTATGGCTCTCTTCTTGAATCACCATAGAATAGATTTTGTTGATGGATGGTAAAGGATCCATCAAAAGAACTTGAGTTTTGATGACAGAAAATTTGTCATTCAAACCAGTTAGAAATTGTATTACCTGATCTTCAATGCGAAATTCTCGAGCAGCTCTCAAGGCTTGGCAGCGACATTGTTGAGCACAAGTGCACGATGGTAGAGGACGATAAGAGTTTAATTCCTCCCATAAGCCACGCAGTTCAGTGAAGTAATCAAGAACTGATTTCGACCCTTGCTTGAGATTGTTAATCTCCATGCGCAGAGTTGAGACACGGATTCGATCAATCTTTGAAAACCGTTCCTGGAGGTCATTCCAGACTTCAAGAGCATTCTCCAAGAAAACGATAGTTTGAGCAATGGGTGATGTAACAGAGTTGAGAATCCATGAATGGACTAAGCAATTGCATCGTTCCCATGCACAGCGGTTGAGATCATCAATGTCAGGAATAGGAATAGTGCCATCAATGAAAGCAAGCTTGTTCTTAGCACCAAGCGCTCGTTTCATTGATCTAGACCAAGAAATATAATTGACACCAGTCAATTGAGGTGTGATGATCACAGAATTAGGGCCTTCACTAGGATGTACATAGTAGACTGAATCTATGTCACCATTGGTGACACGTTGAGTTGAGGAGGTGGGATTGGAACCGCGCGCCATAGATGAAAAAGAAGCACTGTATTAAGAAGAAGAAGGACTGGTTTATGGGAAAAGAAGAAGGATCACAGGTGTGGATCTTGAAGCGAATGATACCATATTATGATTGAGAACTCATGCTCAATTCAATAGAGAAAAGAGAGAAAGAAAGATTAAAGAAGAGAAAGGAAAGAAGCATTTTATTTCATATGTTCAAGCTTATGCATTACACAACTATTTATGCTAGCATTCTATTGCAAGCTATATATGTAACTAACTTCTAATAACCACTAACATCCTAACTGTAGAATAACTAACTGCATAACTAACAGCTAGTGTAACTGCTGCTAACTACCTAACTGCAGAATTACTAACTGCATAACTAACAGCCTAGGTAGTTGAGAACATTCCTAAGTAAACAATCGGAACGTGGAATAAAAAAATTGTAAGTCAATATTTTCAGTCAAATAAAAAATATTCTAGAAGTTGAATTTTGCCGCAGACGAGTTTGAATGAATGACGCGTTATCTCTAAATTGATTGGAATATGGATGGGAATGGAACTAGGATATATGATAGTAACGTTGAATAACTTTCATCATCTTAATTGGGTGATATTTTCAATGGCCAAATAATGAGATATATTTCCAACATTATGGGCCTGTTTGATTTTATTTAATGTTATATAATTTTGTGTAAACTAAATTTATTACAAATTTTTTTGAAATCTTTTTTAGATGTTAGAATTTCTCACTGCCAGAGGTTGGCAAGTGGGAGGGGGAAAACTTAGGTTTGAGATCTTCAATGGAGAAGATCTCGCATATTTTAGCATGAGTAGGTTTTGATACGTAACTTCCTCTTATTATTTAGGGATTTTATTCCTTTGTCTCCACCTGATAAGTGTTGGTGGAGTAATTCTAAATATGACTCTTATTATGTGACTTATGCGTACTCTTTTCTTCTCTCTCACGAGGCTTATGGAGATTGTCAAGTCTTAGTGCCAGAGTCGGGTCTCTCTAATATCTGGAGTAGTTAGTCCCCTCTAAAGTGATAGTTTTCTCCTAACAACTCCTAAAGGATAGGATTTTCACCAGAAAGAATTCGTTGAAGAAGGGGATTGTCATTAGCTCGAAGGGCGTTTCTTGCTCTTTTTGTTCGAGGTTTGTAGATTCGTCCTCTGATTTTTTTGTCACTTTTGATGAAGTGTCTTTTGTGTGGTATAAGATTTTTCGTATGGATAGGTTGGTTTAAAGTCATACATAGGAATTCTTTGACCCTTTTTTAGATGGTTTTCTCTACTGATGATTCGTCTAGGATTAGGGGAAGGCTTATGATTTTGCATGAATTGGTCTGTTCGATTTGGAAATCTCATAATGATATACTGTTCTCAGATAAATTGGTGTCACTGAAAGACGTAGAAAATGTGAGCATTCCTTTAGCTTAGAAATAATATCTTGATAGGTACGTGGGGAGTGCTTTCAAAGTATAGCTCAAGAACCCTATCTGACATTTGGGTCAATAGCATCATGAGTGTCTTCGGTCTCCTCTAGCTGTGTTCTTGTTTATAAGTGGAGATTGGTGTCGTTTTGCATGTCTTTGTTAGGGAGATCTAGATAGCAATCTTTTCCGGTGCTTCTAGTTTTTTCCTTTCTACAACTTTCTTCTCTTGTATTAGTTTTTTTAATTCTTTGATTTAATGCTATTGGTGTTTTCCTTTTTCTTTGGATGTAATTTCATTTCCTACTTTGTTGTGTGTTTTGGTAATTTTTGTGTTGCTTCTCATCTTTCAATATTGTACTCTAGGCCTTTAGTGTCTCATTATATTTATATATAGTTCTATTTTATTTTTAAAAAACCATTTCCGTTGCTCCATAGCTCGCTACATCTGTTATTATTGTGGGTTGTTACTTAACTTGATTGCGATGCTAATTGTTTATTACATATTTGTTCATATCTCTTTACTTTAGTTTGATGTACAAAATTTTTTTTTTTTGTAATTTTTGTACCTGTTGAAAAAAACTATTCACTACGCCAAAAATGATTTTTTGTATCACCTAATTTAATAGCACTTTTAAAAAAAATGCTATTAAAATGGAAAAAAACACATTTATAATAGCACTTTTTAATCGGGCGCTATTATATAATACAGACTATGTAATTATGATAGCACTTTGTACCAGAACGCTATTATTAAACTTCTTTAAGATAGCATTTTGTATAAAACGCTATTAAAAAGAAATGGGCCTAGGAGGGAGGTCCGCTCAGTCTAATCCCTTAGTCCAACAACATTTCATTTTTAGTCAGATTTAGCTCACTTCTAATTATCTAAAACTAAAAGAAAATGCAAATAAAATTGAATTGGGGTTAGGGTTAAAGAATTGAGTCTTCATCTTCTCACAAAAATACAACTCCCTCTTCTTTGATTCCTCAAGCTATACGCTAATCGCTCACCATATCATGGTCTCTGACTTGTCTCTCAACGAATTCTACTCAGACGTGGTGGTCCACTTCTTTCTCTGGTGATCTATGACTCACCACTCAACGGCGCCTCCATCTTTGTCATCGCGTATCGACCTCTTCTCAACCTTCAGTTGGAGTTTTAATCCACGAACTCCACACCGGTATCGATTTAGCTTCTACGGACTTAAACTAGACGCCAAGCTTGAAGAAACATAGATATGCAAGATTTAGAGGAGATGATACTTACCGATCGGATTCGCTCCGATGGCATTTCGTAGCGACGAAGATATCGAATAGAAATCCAGATATTCTTAAGAAATAGTTCAAGTACGCTTTCTCTTCGCTCTCTTCTTCGTGATTTTGAACCTTATGTTGATGTGCGTTGCATTTTTTGTGAAGCTGAAACTTAATGATGATCGAAGATTGAAGTAGAGAGTAGAGCATTGAGGACTTTGTTGTTGAGGGTTACGGTGTGATGAATGAGGAACTGTGAAGAATTTGCGGAAGATGGTGAAGATGCAGATTGAGAAACAGTTATGGAAAGAGAATGCAGAGAGAAATTTTCTCGAGTAACTGATGAAGAATGATGAAGATGAGAGGAGAAGAGATAGTTTGAGAGGGTTTTTGTGTGATTCTTCAGCGATTATGAAGAATAATGAGAATGGATTGAGGTGGTTCATAGAAAGATCAAGCTCTGAGTTTTTTTTTTTGGTATTTTCTTATTCTCCAATGGTTGTTGAAGAATGAAGGTGAAGTAGAATATGAGAAGAACGAGGGTGTTTTAGCTATTTTTTGGTGATTCTTCTGCAAAATCCAGAATGAGTGAATCTCCAGTGAGTTTTTCTGTATTAATTTGTTATGAGTTTGTTAGGAAATAGAAAATCTCAGCTGGATTTATAAATACTGAAATTTACATGCTGTCATGTTGTAGTTGTACACTTAAGGGAGTAATACAGCATAAGAAATATCACATGCCTTCAACACTGATTTTTATATTTTTATCTTTTTTTAATCTAGAGTACATATTTCTGCATAGAATTTCCTTGGCTTTTGTTTGCTAGATGAGAAGGAAACTTGTGCAATACTTGAACATTATTGATGTTTTGCTGTATTTAATAGCTTACCACCATTATTGATGCGGCCACTTTTTCTTGCTTACCTCTGTTATTGTATATGTTGACTTAGTGTTATAATACTTAGGCTCACACCTATATTCACAACTTATTAATGTGCACTGGGTAGTACTAACGGGTGGTACTAAATAAAAAACATGCCTTTTTTTAATTAGGTACTTAGCACCGTGGTAGTAGTTTGAGATAATCTTCTGTTTATTTATTACATACATCTTCCAACGTTTTTGACAGTTCACTTCAATGCATAAAATTCTGCACGACTAACCTAGAAAGATTTAAACTTGTTAACTTTCAACTCTGCTTCATAGATGCGAATGACTTCATCCTGCCAATATTATTTTACTTTGATGTTATTATTATATTGTGTGTTTAAAAGGGATGTACTTTGTGTCCATTTTAATCCAACCTAAGATGAAGAACAATGGAACACATAACTCCACATATTAGTTCTGGTATAAGCAGTTCATATGGTGTAACTCAATGGCTGCATCTGTTACTAAGTTTTGGATCTGCATTTCTTTTGTTAACGTCCTTCTCAATATTTTTCATATCCATTGAAAATGGATTGAATGCATCAATGATCTGAAGTTCTCCCAACCAAGAAGACTTCAAAACTGCATGCTGATACAATCCAGATAATGGTGGTGAGCAAAGAGATGAGACCCTTAGGGGTCTTAAGTTTTGGCCACAAAGTAGCACTGTGATCAGGGTACCAGGCTTTAAGTTCGGTGCCAGAAGAAATGACATTCAAACCTTCTTCTGAACTTCAGCTCTCTGATCTTCTCCAGTTTGCACATTGTACTTCTCTTCTATTTCATCTTACGATTTTGTAATATAAGCATGATCTTGTTTGATATGATATGATAGTGTTTCAGCTTTACAAGAGATGCCTATTGCAGTTAGTACTGATAAGCCTAAATCTCAGCATTATGAACTACCAACCTCTTTCTTTAAGTTCGTTCTCGGAAACAATCTCAAATACAGGTACGATTACAGATTCATATACTGATAGCCTTGTTAGTTGATATAGCTAACTTCATAGAAGCTATAAGTTGTTTTCATAAACTATTCTGAAAACTGAAGAGCTTATAGAAATAAGGTGAAAGCAGTTTATAGACGATAAGCTTAAATATGCACATATAAGTTATAACCTTGTGATTTGTGTAAGACTCTTATATGTATGAACTGGTGCAGTTCTTGTTATTTCTCTTCTACGTCAAAGACGCTGGAAGATGCTGAAGAAGAAATGTTGAAACTGTATTGCGAGAGATCAAATCTGAAAGATGGTCATACAGTTCTTGACGTTGGATGCGGTTGGGGTTCTCTTACTTTATATATTGCCAAGAATTACAGTAATTGCAGAGTTACATGAATCTGCAATTCCACAACTCAAAAAGCTTTTATCGAGGAGAAATGCGTGTATATTACTTGACACTGTTATTATTTGTGAAAAACCTATTGTATGCTGACCGAAATCACTTTCTTGCATTGGCCTCTTGTCAGGGAGCTGCAGCTGCAAAATGTGGACATCATTGTTGCGGACATTAGCACATTTGAAATGGAAGCTTCTTACGACAGAATATTTTCCATAGAAATGTTTGAGGTTTGATTTTGTTGGTAAATCATCTGCATTGAAGTGGTATTTCATTAAATTTGATTTAAGTTTTAACCCTGTCACAGCATATGAAGAACTATAAAGATCTTCTAAACAAGATATCCAAATGGATGAAAGAGGATGGTCTTT